AGGTAGAATTTAACCCAAGTCTTGAAATATGGATAGGGAACCATCCCATTTGGAGACATAAAAATGATGTTATCCATATGAATATTCCTTCCTGTACTAGCATAAGATGTGGTTTGGGTTTTGTTGTCTGCTGCTGTTGAAATTTAAGCTTTGAAGTCCATGCTTTGGTGGAAATATTTTCCATAGATAAGGGAAACCTAATCTTGAAAACCAAAATATTTATTACTGTGTAGACAGAGCAATGGCTAACCACATGATGATTATGCGCTTCGGATATAATACTAACAATTTTGTTTTGTTTTGTTTTGTTTTAGACAGACTACTCTGGTAGTTTACATTTTGTCTTTTTTGGGAATGGTTATATTTACTTTCACACTGGACCTTCAATACATTAACATCGTGTTTGTTACTGGAGGGGTGCTTGGGTAAGTATCAAAAGGTGATTAGGAGGAATAATAGCATGCTCTTATGATTCTGAAATATTACTACTGTGGGTTTTATTTTATAATAAATATATTCTTATTGATTTTAGAGGGAGAGGAAGGAAGTGGGGGAGAGAGAGAAAACCATCCATCGGTTGCCTCCTGCAGGTACCCTGACCTGGGATCAAAATTGCAACCTTGGTGTGTGCCCGGATCGGGAATCGAAGTGGTGACCTTTCGGTGCACAGGACAACGCTCAACCAACTGAGCCACAGCGGCTAGGGCTATTGTGGTTTTTTTAATTTTTAAAGTTCATCCAAGGGTTCTTTAACATTTTAAACTTTAAAAGATTCATCTTGTGCACATAAATGTGTAATACTTTAGAAATATAAAAAATAGTTTTAAATTGTATTTTTTTTGGTATATGTAGGTGAAAAGTGGATAAGCCTTACTTAGTCCAAGTAACTTTATTTTTCTCAGGAAAATATTAGACATTGTTTTGCTTCTCAGTTCTTGTGACCTTGGATGCACAATAAAAGTGCCTTACTTTCACATACCAACTTCAAGACATTCCCTTATCTGATCATTCGAATGGGCCTGAGAGGTAGAATGACTGCCTCTGTGTGACATTGCCCTTCTGCCAATCCTGTAATTCTGGATGCATTTTCCTAGTTTCTTCATGACTGGTTACCTCCCCTTGGGCTTTGAGTTTGCTGTGGAAATCACATACCCTGAATCTGAAGGTACTTCATCCGGTCTTCTCAATGCTGCTGCTCAGGTAAGCCTCTGACTTCCCTTCCACCTGAGATGACTGGTTTTCCAAATATTTCCGGCGGATGATGAGTTTGACCCTAGTTTTTGTTTTTAAAATTCCACCTTTTAATGAATGATTCTAGAAGTCAAATCAAGTGAGTAAAAGCGTTAAGAAAATTCTGGGGAAAACGTTATACTTGTTTTTCAAAAGTAAATTTGATGAAAGTAATTATTTTATTTCAGATTTTTGGGATTCTGTTCACGCTGGCTCAAGGAAAGCTCACATCAGACTATGACCCGAGGGCAGGAAACATATTCCTCTGCGCTTGGATGTTTGTAGGCATCATTTTCACAGGTAAATCAGGCTATTTTTCTGGCAAAAGTACTTGTATCAGATTGTCTTTATGTTTAATTTTCACGTATATTGATTCTGAATGGCTTGGCAGAACTCAAGACAAAAATGAGATAGAAAGCAGGCTATGATTTGTTTTCTTCCAACGATATGAAGCTGTTAATTTATCTTTGCTTCAAATTCAATACAGTCGCTCTGCACAGAAAACAAAACTGTTGCAACAAGAGTCAGTAAAGAGCTGGAGTGGGGCTGTAACCGGTTTGGCTCAGTGGATAGAGCGTCGGCCTACGGACTGAAAGGTCCTAGGTTCGATTCTGGTCAAGGGCATGTACCTTGGTTGCGGGCACATCTCCAGTAGGGAGTATGCAGGAGGCAGCTGATCGATGTTTCTAACTCTTTATCTCTCTCCCTTCCCCTCTGTAAAAAAATCAATAAAATATATTAAAAAAAAAAAAAAAAGAGCTGGAGTGGGCATACCCACCCTCAAGTTCTGATTCTGCTACTCACTCGCTGTGTGACATTAGACAAGCGACTTAACCTTTCAAATCTTTCTTCCCTCGTTTATGCAATAGGGTATTTAAAAGCCTGCCTTCAAGGGTTGTTATGAGGATCAGTGGAGGTGTCTAGCACCTAGGACAAGCCTAATCATGTTAGCTATTACTACAATGTGGTGGTGGTGTAAGAAGTCAGATGGCGGCGATGGAAATAGCATTTGACATGGTTAGCCAGTTCTTACACTTCTTGGGTGTAATCAGAAGAGCCTGGAGCAGGAGAGTGGGTAGTGCCCCACCTCCAGAGAAAGAGCATGCTAAAGAACTTGGACCCATAGTTTGTCCAGACATACAGTGTAAAATTGGATTCAGAAGCAGTGCATGTCCAGTAGTGCTCTCTGGTCCATACTGGCTTCTACTGTTATTTCACTTGCTTATTTCTTTCTGCCGCCCTTTACCAACACGAGAGACAGAATCTATCCAGAAGATGGGAAGCAAGGCTTTCTTCTTATGTTTATTGAATACCTGATCATTCTTTTTGAAACCCCCAACATGAAATCTTACCAGTGGTGAACATTTATTTCGGAAATACACAACCACCTAAGATCACTGTCGTTCATTCGTTATGTTTAAAGAGCGTGAGTGTCCCCCGTGCCCTCCAAGGAAATCATCCCAAGGAGCATTAGAGATCGGCTCCCCCACATATGTTGTCAGTTTGGCTCAAATAAACTCATAAAATTTCTCTAAAAACAAAACAAAAAGCCAAAAAAAAGTACATCCTGCTATGAGGGAGTTTCCCCCCGTTAGTGATATAAGTTTCTTCAGTTAGTGATATAAAACATACAAAACTTTGAGGCATGTAATACTTTAACTGCCTAACTACTGATATGTCATAAATAATCCATGTTGACTCTTAATTTCCAGGGAAAGTAACATATGTCTATCAAATAGTGTTATTATTTGTTAATATATTTTTATTAATTTCAGTGAGGAAAGGAGAGGGAGAGAGAGAAACATCAATGGTGAGAGATCAATCATCGATCCGCTGCCCCCTACTGGGGATCAAGCCCGCAACCCAGGCATATGCCCCTGACTGGAATAGAACTGGGACTCCTCAGTCCGCAGGCCCACGTTTTATCCACTGAGCCAAACCGGTTAGGGCTGTATATTTAGTTTCAATGACTAGGACCACCATGTATTCATTCAGTTGGTATTCATTCAGTTGCCCAAACGAGAAAACTTAAGTCACCCACTTTTTTCTTTCTGTCCTCCCTATGTTTTTTTTTTTTTTAATATATTTTATTGATTTTCTTACAGAGAGGATGGGAGAGGGATAGAGAGTCAGAAACATCGATGAGAGAGAAACATCGATCAGCTGCCTCCTGCACGCCCCCCACTGGGGATGTGCCTGCAACCAAGGTACATGCCCTTGACTGGAATCGAACCTGGGACCCTTGAGTCCGCAGGCCGACGCTCTATCCACTGAGCCAAACCGGTTAGGGCCTCCCTATGTTTTTTATATTCTTTGTAGGTGTGTTGTTGAGCATTTAATGACTCTTTTTACCTGCTTTATGTCCATTTTTCATATTCTATCAAAGCAATGAGTCTTACGGTTCTATTCTCAAATATCTCTAAACTTGTCCCTTTATCTCCATTTCTCACATATGCATGCCTCACCATGCCTCTCTCAGGAGGATTAAAGCCTCTTAACTGACCTTCCTGTCTCTAATCTTGTTGCCAAAAATGATCCTCCTCACAACTGCCAGACTGAGCTCCTTGAGTTATCAGTCCCAAAGTTTGTGCGTGTCCCCGAAGCTTCAAAAGGCCAGTATTAAACATTTCAGAGCTTGGAGTAAGGAAAGGTTCATTTGATCAAGAAGGCACCACCAGCTTGAGAAGATGAGGGTGCCGTAGACATTCCTCAAATCCATTTTAAGAGAGCCCAGAATTCAGGCTTCTTTTATGTCAAGGGAAAACAAGTGAGGAAAGGAGGGAGGGCAAGATGTGATTGAGGACTCCAGATATCTGGGTGCCACCAGGGGTCCAGGGAAGAGGGTGAATCTCTACATCTCTTTGTTCCTGGCCCACTGATGTTGACCCCTGCTGGTCTGAGCCTGCTCTTGAGGCTCCTGCAAATCTTTGATAAACAGTCATAATTGTGTACATATTTTCCTACCTCTTCTGAGAGGCACCCCCTGGCAAGGGCTGTTCTTTCAACAACTCAAGCCTCAAGCAGCATTCCTCTAATGATTAGCGTAGCTACAGCAGGAGCTATGTGCCTGAAAGCCTTGGGGAAAATGCAGGCTAGAATTAAGATAGAGTCAGAGAGACTGAGAGAGCGTTTCACTCTATTACAGCCCTGATAGCATCCTCCCCTCTCAGATGCAGTGTAAACTCTTTACACGGTGTCCACAATACCTACCAACCCAGCCCTGTATCCTGCCATCTCCCTCAATGATCCCTGACTACCTCTAGTGTCAAGAATAGGCTAAGCTCTTCCTGTCCCAATAGCTTTGCATATGCTGTAATCTGCCCGCCCAGAATGCCTTCCTCTGTCCTCTCATATGTTTGACAAGTTCCTCCTCATTGTTCAAGTTTCAATTCAAATGTGTCTCCTCTGGCAAACCTTCCCTGATTTCCTTTGCCTAACATAGGCATCCCCCCGCCTCCATGCTCCCATGACACCTTATACAACCCTGAATTGTTGTAGTTCAGTATACAGTGCCTACGTGTCAATATCTCCCTACATGGGAAGGTGCTTTAGGGAAAGAATTGCACTGTTCATCTTTGTATCCTTGTTTCCTGGCATCTTGTATTTCCTCACTAATGAATGACTTGCTAATTACGTCAATGGCTTAGAGAGGTACTATTACTTTTTCAGACCACAAGGATGCTATTGAATATTATGGCACTGTGGTGGGCTAAATTTGACAAGATTAAAAAAGACTTTGCACTACTTAGAGAAAGTACAATGCTACTCACTCTGCGGTAACTGTTGGTGCTTCTGTTTCAGCATTAATCAAGTCTGATCTGAGGAGACACAACATAAATACAGGAATTACAAACGGCGAAATTAAAGCTGTAAGTAATAAATACTTCTATGATTATACTGTTGAGAAATGTGTGCATGGAAGAAGTGTGAAGCCAATCTATTCCTCAGCTCTTTCTTTATCCCTGAGCCGATTGTTGATCGGGCATAATGCATGCGCCAGATGTTATAAACTTTCTCATCTTCTGATTCTTTCCACAGGTGCCAGTTGATAGTCCCACAGATGAAGAATCAAAAACTGTTATGACGTCCAAGCAGTCAGAACCAGAAATTTGAGCTGAAAAGAAAAGTTAGTATCATGTGATATTTGAGCTATAAGGCTTGGTTCATAGGTTATGAGGAATGGACACTTACTTGAAAATTACTGTATGGCTCCTACATGTAGTTACTGTTTTGCTTAATTATTAACTGAAGCAATATTTTGCTTACATCCTTTTAACACTACCATTATCTAACGAGTGTCCCATTTTTAGTCTTCTATCATCTATCTCAAAGGAAGCTTCTTGATATTTATTTTTCAAAAGTCAAATGTTTTTCTTTTTTGTGGAAAGTGGAAGCTTACATGGCTTTCTAAAATGATCGTGTGGAGGTCTAATCCCTTTAAGTCACAGAAGAGGACGTACAATTTATATGTAAAAATACCCAATAGGACCAAGTGTCCTATTGGCTCCCTTTCCAGTTGTCGAACCCCCTGAGTGTGAGTACAGTGTAGCGACAGGACACTTCAGTCCACCGAAGGGCAGTGCTGGGATGCTACTTCCAGACAACTGCTACGGTTTCCCGTTTCTTACATCCTTGTTAAAAAGCGCTTTGTAACAGGTACTGGCATTGGCCATAAAACCATTTGGTGTACAGACTGAACCCACCCACGACTTTAGTCTTATGTTCTAGTTCAGCTTAGGAGCCAGATACAGGCTCAGCATCTTGACTTCTCTGTCTTCTTATCATGGGAGAAATGGTAACCTATATTTTTTCACTCCAGTTTGAAAGAGAGATGTTTTGTACCCACTGGCTTTTTTACTCGCTTTTTTTCCCCCAGTATATACCTTTCTAGTAAGAAAATTTCATCATATGTGTAACTGGCTTTTCCATGATTTCTTGTATCACATCGTATACTTTTGCCTTGAAGATTCCTAAGATGAGGAAATCTGTGCCCAGCCTGGGTGGTCCGATTTAGTGGAGACCGCTTAAAATGCTGTCTAGCCCTGGGCTGTGTGGCTCGGTTGGTTGGAGCATCGTCTCATGTGCTGAAAGGTGGTGGGTTCAATTCCCAGTCAGGGCTACTCAGGTTTCAGTTCGATCCCCAGTTGGGGTGAGTACGGGAAGCAACTGATCAATGTTTCTCTCTTTCCCCTTCCTCTCTAAAATCAATAAAAAGGGCATGTCCTCAGTTGAGGATTTTAAAAAATGCTATCTATGCTAATTCTCCAGTGTCATTTTTTTTTAAATATATTGATTTTTTACAGAGAGGAAGGGAGAGGGATAGAGAGTTAGAAATATCAATGAGAGAGAACCACTGATCAGCTGCCTCCTGCATACCTCCTACTGGGGATGTGCCTGCAACCAAGGTACATGCCCTTGACCGGAATCGAACCTGGGACCTTTCAGTCTGCAGGCTGACGCTCTATCCACTGAGCCAAACCAGTTAGGGCTCCAGTGTCATTTTTAAATTTTTTTTAATTTTTACTGATTTTAGAGAGGAAGGGAGAGGGAGGGAGAGAGAGATAGAAACATCAATGATGAGAGCAATGATGAGAGAGAATCATTGATCGGCTGCCTCCTTATTGGGGATTGAGCCTGAAACTCGGGCATGTGCCCTTGATGGGAATCGAACCCGGGACCCTTCCATTCACAGGCCAGTGCTGTAGCCAAACAGGTAGGGCTCTCCAGCGTCATTTTTTTATGACTATTCTCCTTTGAGAAATACGGTACCCAGGCATGTGCTCCCTCGGTTTGTCAAGAGAGTGGGTCTTGTCTTCACCACACTGTACAGTCTCCATACTGTAGGAACAGTCAGCGCTTTCACATGCTCAGGGGAAGCAGCATAGGACCAAATGTGTTTCCACAGTGCCTACCTCTGCGTTTTGTTTACAGTGAGAATTTAGATGTTGTTCACATCCTGACTCTAAACTGATAAGGGAATATCCTCTTCAGAGTAATGACATTTAACAGCCGTGATATTTATATTATGTCCACACAAACATGAAAAGCCAACCCGTTGTACCCTTGATACCCTAGAAGTGAATTAGCAGCTCTGATCTGAGCATCACATATGCATCGCTTTATCCTGGAACGGTAACATCGTCTGTAATCAACCGATTATGTAGAATCTTACCCAGAGGCTGTGTCACCAGAACAACTCGGCTGGGAGCCAGGAACTCCAGGTCCTGGATCTGTTTCTAGCCGTCTCTTCATCCATATAATGAATGTATTCAATTTGATCTCAAAGATCTTTTAAAAAGTCATCATGGGGTGGACCAAATCATGGTGCCACAGGAACTTAACTAAAATATAGCCGAGACATTCCCTGGGCAATTGGATAAACACTATGTTTGTTACTTTGTGGATACGGGGATTTAAAATCTGTCTTTTTAGCCTTTTTATTCAGTTGGTGAGAGCTCTGGCAGAATATGCTGACTCATTAACTTCCTTAGCTATTTACATCAAGATTTTATGGCCCCAATTTTATTCTAAGGTCCCTCCTCTGAGTGATTGTTGTTGTTTGTTTGTTTTTTAAATATATTTTTATTGATTTCAGAGAGGAAGGGAGAGGGAGAGAGAGGGATAGAAACATCAATGATGAGAGAGAATCATTGATCGACTGCCTCCTGCACGACCCCAATGGGGACCCAGCCTGCAACTGGGGCACATTCCTTGATTGGAATCAAACCCAGGACCCTTCAGTCCACAGGCTGATGCTCTATCCACTGAGCCAAACCAGCTAGCGTGATTGTTTTTTATTTTTAAACTATCAGTGTTATTTGAAATAATCATGTACTTGTTGAGTTCCTGAAATTACAAATAAAAATTGGAATACTTTATTTCTGAAAAGCATATACTAGTACATGTCATATCTATTTTTCCTTGTTGATTAATAAAAGAATGAAATATATGAGAAAATACAAAATGGATTGATAATTTTTCTGTCACATAGTTAAAGTTATCTGTAACATGTCAAACAAGAATATCATATAATTCTGTATCATATCTGGGAAATGGAGTTGGGTAACCAACACGTGTGTAAATTTTTAATCAAATGATTTGAGAGAAAAATCAGATGCTTTCCATAGCTGTTGCATTTATAACTGTCGCAAATACAGCTTTTGCCCTCTGTGAATGTGGGAAAATGTCTTTAAAACTCTGTTTATGTGTAAACTCAGAGTATTTTTGGGAGAATCCCTGTCTGTCTTAAGTCATTTTTCATGTTCTGATTACTTGCTCTTTGTAATACTTGTCTGTATGCGTGTTCTTCAGTATGCCAGACTGGAAATAAATTTATTTTTTTAATGTTAATTTTGTATGGCTTTTTTTTTAAAGATCGGATACTTAAGTACCCATGGGGAGTGGAAAGAGATGATAAGATTTCAGAATGGGCGGGGGAGGGAGCGAGGTGGTTTGTGGGGCTAAGTCTGTGTAGCATGGGGGGCTTATTCCTCTCCTTTCTTTGATGCCTGTCCCCTCCTGGGCAGATTGGCTGCCCGCAGTGAGCCACCACAGGACACTACACCTAAGCTTCAGACTTCTCTCGACCTTTTTCTCCTGATACCTTGTGCCTGTATAGTACTTTATGTCCTATAGACGCGTCATTTTCCCTCAAAGCCATGCTGTTTAACATCATAAAAGTGAAAAGTGGGGGGAGTTTTCACTGAAAAACGGGGTATAGTAAGTGTTCTTATTTGTAAAGGCAGAACTGGGTAGTTTTTTAAAGAAGTCAAAAAGAAGGGAATTGGTAGCCTAAAGGGAGATGCTGCCTCCTATGTAACCTGGAAGCCCTAAAAAAATGCTACCACCTTCTCGTCATATTTTAATTATAATGAGTGTGATATTTCAAGGTGAGGTTTCCAGCTTTGGGTCGTTTGATAAATGACCCAATGCTGAATGTTGAGGGAAAGTCATCAAACTGAAATGTAAAAGAATACATAACATCCATTGGTTACCAGTTACCCTAAAACAAATAGGGACGTCAAAAATCTAAGACCTTCCTCTGATCTCTTTGAGAATCATTAACACGACATTTACATTTTCAGTGGAAAAAACTAACTTCCATCCAGGAAAAAAAAAAATACAAATTCTCACTTTTCACAGCAGGAAAATATATAAGGTGAGTAACACATTTCTGAAGCCAACTCATTCTCCTGTAACCCACCTGCCCAGTCTCAGCTTCCCAGACCAAGCCACAGGCTCCCACATACTGCCCCTCCCTCTCTGCAAATCAAAGTAGTCATTCCTGTAGACAAGCTGCCCTCAGGTGACTTCGGAGCCCTGAACAGGAGCCCGTGCCTGGAAAATGCCTTTATGACATTTCCCAGCAGATAAAATGCCTTTGGGCTCCTAGTGATAGATCAGTTTCAAAGCACACTGACCGCCCAGAGGAGATGCCATCTCTTACGTCTGTACTGAGATCTAGACATGTCCTGTGAGCAGGTATGAATAGGACGGAGGAGGAGGAGACGGGGTCTGGAGGCCCTAAAGCCTCGAGAAAGGAGAAGGGGATTCAGGAAGAGAGGGGAGAGAAAGACTCAGACAGGAAGGACACCGAGCTTCATTCTCCACGTAGACAAAGTATGCACTTTTCCTTATGTCTGTTATTTTAAGCCCATGATGAAATGGTAATTAGGAAGAGCACAAACCATCAGAAACGAGTAGAAACTCGATTTCTGGTTGGAGCCCCTAGGTTTTGGCCGATAAATGCTGCTTCAGCATGCCTCTCTTTCTCGGGGAAACACCGGGTTCCTCCAGGCACTGAAATGGCCCCAAACCCCCTGAAATTGATAGATTAAATGTCATAAGGTTTCTAAAGCAGAAAAGTGAGGCTGAAATAAAAGTAACAGTAGTCCAGCTAGAGTGGCTCAATTGGTTGAATGTCGTCCTGTGCACTGAAAGGTGGCGGGTTTGATTCCCAGTCAGGGCACATACCTGGGTTTGGGTTTTGATCTCCAGTTGGGGCACATACAGAAGGCAACCGATTGATGTCTCTCACATCAATGTTTCTCTCTTTCCCTTCCTTTCTCTAAACATGTTCTCAGGT